GTGCTGACTTGACTGGCCTGGATCCGTCTTATGATGTTGAGGATGGCCAGATTGTGAATTGCCTTGAAGGTGATGTTGTGAAGGTGATTGAAAAGGCGCCAGAGACTGATGACGACGAAGGAGCTCGCGGCGTGCTTCCTATGACTGACACGGATAGTGATCATACACGAGATGATGGTGGGCGTGTTACGTCAACCGATCCTGCTGTGGGTGGCGGTGGTACCGAAGTCATGATTGCTGGGCAGAATGATCAGGCGCCAGAGGCGGTTGCTTCCGCAGTTGAAAAGGGCTCGACCGTTCAGGCTCAGGATGTTTGAGATGTGCTGACGACATTCCTTTAGGACTTAGGCTTTTGTTTCGGCGCGGTTGGTATGTCAACTGCGGCCTCTATGTTTAAAAACTTATCAATATCAATGAATGGATTCTCTTTACATTTGTCGTTTTTCCCGCTTTATTTTTCGACCGATTTATTTTTCTCGTTTTTCCTGAGAACTAAGCCTGATTTAAGGGCGTTGGCTGGGGGTGAGGACCATCCCAGTCCAACTGCGGCGAGGGTGAGGACCATCTCGCTTGTTGGGCGTTGGCTGGGGGTGAGGACCATCCCAGTCCAACTGCGGCGAGGGTGAGAACCGTCTCGCTTGTTGATTAATTTAACAGTATAGGCGATCAATGTTTTCTTTTTATTGAACATACGGGACTCTGCCTCATTAAAAACCTTCCCTAGTAAAACCCATTGGGACAAAAACGTAGGAAAGGAAAAGAGTGCAGGTGAAATTACATGGTATTTCAACTATAGTACTGCTTGAGCTTATCTGCGTTCCACGCCCTTGGAATCGCCTTTCCGTCTAACATCTCAAGTGAGTAGGCTCCTTTGCCCAGTTTGTTTGCTACACGGTAGGGACCTTCCCAATTAGGGGCGAGCTTTCCTTCCCGTGCGTTCTTGTTTCCAACGTCTGCTCTTCTGAGAACCAAATCATTTTCTTCAAAAATTCGTGGAATCACTTTCTTGTTGTAATAAGTGGCAGATCTTTCTTTTGTCTGGCGATCATTGTGGGCGGCGTATCTTCTTACTTCGTCCAGCAGATCCAACGCTTCTTTCAAGTGCTGGTTGTTGGTGACCTCTGTCACGTACTCTCGTCGCCAGGAAGGCTCGCCTTTTTCCACTGGTATCATGGCTTCAGCACCGTATGTCATCCTGAAAGGCGTTTCTCTGGTGGAGGACTGGGCGGTAGTTCTGTACCCCCATAGGACGTTGTCTAGATTTTCTAACCATGCTCCTTTGTGCGTTTCTAGCCTCTTCTTGATTCCTTTCCCCAACATTTTGTTGGTGGATTCTACTAAGCCATTGGACTGAGGGTGTTCTACAGCGGTAAAGTGATGTCTGATCTGTAGACTGTTCATCAGTGCTCGGAACTTGGCATCAGTAAATTGAGTGCCGTTGTCAGTAATGACCTCCCCAGGGATACCAAATCGGTAAATGATGCTTCTCCAAAAGAACCTTCTTGCTTTTTGGGACGTGATAGTAGCTAAGGGTTCCGCCTCTACCCATTTGGTGAAGTAGTCAATGGCGACGATTAGCCACTGGACTCGCCCAGCCGCCTTGGGAAAAGGCCCAAGAATGTCAATTCCCCACTTGTAGAAATGCCATGGAGATGTGATTGACGCCAATTCTTCGGGTGGTGCCCTGTGTACGTTAGCGAATCTCTGGCACTTTTCGCATTTCTTTACATGCTCGTGAGCGTCACGTTCCATGGTTGGCCAGTAAAACCCTGCTTTCAACGCCTTCTTTACCAGCGAGTGACCACCTATGTGATGGCCATTGATACCTTCATGAATTTCTTCAGTTACGTACGGAACGTCATTAGGGTTCAGACATTTCAGGAGTGGGGTTGAGGTCCCTCGTTTGTATAAACATCCTTTTACTAGGCAGAAATGTGCGCTCCGTCGTATTAGCTTTTGACCTTCATTCTTATCCGAGGGTAACACCCATTCGGCTAAGTAGTTGATGATAGGCGTTGTTCAGGTTTCCTCAGTGGCGTCCTCTCGGGGGTTAGAAATGCTCATTACGATGCACGGGTTTGGCATGTTGTGCTGGATTACCGATCTGTTGTTCCTTGGGCTTTTGGTGCTTGCCAGCTTGGCGAGGATATCTACCCGTGTATTTTCAGCTCGCCTTATATGCTCTACTTCAACAGCTTCGAAGCTTCCAATCAACTCATGTACCTTCTCCAAGTACCTACACATTAATGGTCCTTTGGTTTGGTATTCGCCTGAGATCTGGAAAGCTACCAGTTGGGAGTCAGTGAAGACTTTGAGGCGTCGGGCGCCCATTTCTTTTGCTTGGAGCAGTCCTGCTATCATGGCCTCATATTCCGCCTGATTATTTGTGGCGTTGAAATCAAAAGTCAGAGAATGTTCGAGTGCTACTCCATCTGGGTTTTCAACTATCATTCCCGCGCCCGATCCTTTGGCGTTCGAAGAGCCATCAATGTACAACTTCCAGTTACCAGCTGAAGGCGTTTCAGTTGCATGCTTCTCAGGATGGGGGTTTGGAGTTATCTCGGCGATGAAGTTTGTCAAGGCTTGGGCCTTAATGGCCGTTCTTGGTTCGTAGGCGATCTGGTATTCTGATAGTTCTATCGCCCAAGACATCATTCTTCCAGCAAGGTCTGGCTTATGTAACACTTGCCGAATTGGCTGGTTTGTTCTGACAGTGATTGGATGGCACTGGAAGTACGGCCTTAAACTCCTTGCAGCAAAGATGAGTGTTAATGCTACCTTCTCAACTTGCTGGTACCGAAGTTCCGCTCCTTGTAAGACTTTGCTGATAAAATAGACGGGCTTTTGTCCTTCCTTTGACTCCTTGACTAGGGATGCGCTGATAGCCTCCGATCCGACGGCGAGGTATAAGTACAACATTTCTCCGTGCTCGGGTTTGGAAAGTACTGGTGGGCATGAGAGAGCCATTTTGAACTCCTGAAAGGCGCTCTCACATTCTTCTGACCATCGAAAGGCGGTCCCCTTTTTAACAACCTGAATAGGGGGAGGGACTTGTGTGCTGAGTTTGCCAAAAATCGGGCGAGGGCTACCAACCTTCCAGTTAGCTGTTGAACTTCCTTGATTGTTTGCAGGCTCCGCATTTCAATGACCGCCTTACACTTGTCTGGGTTGACCTCTATGCCTCGCTCCGTGAGCATGAAGCCAAGGAATTTTCCCGCGGGAACACCAAAAGCACACTTGCTGGGGTTGAGGCGCATGTTAAATTTTCACAGTCTTTGGAAAACGCCTTGGAGATCTGCTAAATGTTGGTCTGCCATCTTTGATTTGGCTATCATGTCATCAATGTAAACTTCTATACAATTGCCGATCAAGTCTCTGAATACCTCGTTCATCATCCTCTGATACGTGGCGCCCGCATTTTTCAACCCGAAGGGCATCTTCGTATAACAATAATTGGCGTTCTGAGTAATGAACGCCATTTTGTCTATATCTTCCTCTAACAACGGAATCTGATTATAGCTTGAATATGCGTCCATAAAAGACAACATCTGGAAACCAGAGGCGTTGTCAACCAGCTGGTCGATGCTTGGGAAAAGATATGCGTCCTTGGGGCAGACCTTGTTAAGATCTGTGTAGTCAACGCACATTCTCCACGCGCCGTTTGATTTCTTTACCAACACTGGATTGGACAACCAAATTGTGTACTTGATTTCCCTGATGAACCCGGCGTCGTGGAGTCTTTTGATTTCTTCATCAATGACCTTCTGGCGATCAAAGCCAAACTTCCTCTTCTTTTGCGCAACTGGTTTTGCTTTAAGGTCCATCGACAAACGGTGGCAGTATACGTTTGGGTCGATACCTGGAATATCAGACGGTTTCCAAGCGAACAAATCTTTGTTTGCTTTAAACAACTGTATCAACTTTCTTTTTACTTCGGGTTCGATTGTTGCCCCGATTATTGTCGTCTGGTGATCCGCCTCGCCCAACACCACGTATTCTAATGCTCCGTCAGGCGTAGGTCTGGCGTGCTCGACTCTGGGATCGTCCCTAGCGTCAAAATCTACCAAGAAGCATTGGTTGTGCTCGTTCCTCCTCCTGTCGGGATTTCCTTCAGCTGGGGATGTCTCTTTCTGCTAGGGTGTCGCTTCTTTTTTGAAGGTAACCTTTGTCATTGGCCGCAGAGAGATGTTGTAGCAACTTCGGGCAACAATTTGATCTCCTCATATAGTAGCTATATTATTATCTCTGGCTATGAACTTCATTGCCAGGTGGGGGTGGGAGATGCTCGCCTCAAAGGCTGCAAACATCCTCCTGCCTAGGATGGCGTTGTAAGCGGACGGTGTATCCAGCATTAGGAATTGGATGTCTGCGGATCATGATGTTGGTGGTGTTCCAAGCGAGAGACGCAGGTTTATCACCCCCAAAGGCTTGGTGGTGGTAGCATTGAAACCTGAAAGTTCACCTGCGACAGGAGTTAGATCGTTAATTGTGAACCCTAATGCTTTGAGACATGGCAAGAATAAAATATCGGCTGAGCTGCCGTGGTCAACACATACACGGTTGATGCCGTAATTGGCGATTATCGCTTGGATGACAAGTGGGTCGTCGTGCCCGGGGAGAACGTCCCCCCACTCGCTGCTGTCCCAAACTATGTTTGGTCTGGCTGGGCCATGGTGCCCTTTATCTTTGCTGATCACCTTTCCTGCAATCGCCAGGCATTGTTTTAGATGCTTCTTCCTGGCGTTGGACGTTTCTCCCCCGCCGCTTAAACCTCCAGAGATCATATTAAATACTCCGTGCTTGATGGTGGCGGAGTCTTCTTCTTCAACTCGCCTCCCTCCTCGGCTCGGGCTTGTCTGTGTTCTGGTTCTTTGAGGTGAGTCTTCTCTTTGGCCTCGTTCTTGGCGGGACCGAGCGTTGGCCTGATTGGTTTTCCTCCTTTCTGGCGACTTGCTTCGGTCGCGGTATCGCCTGCCTGATCTGGAGGGGCGAGCATTATCTCATCCGCTTTTTTGTGTATCGCCTTTGATGAGTTCGTCGATCTCGTCCTTGAGGCGCCTGCAATCCTCTGTGTTGTGGCCGCTACTGCGATGAAACTTGCAGTATGGTGCGACCTCTTTGCTTGGTTGCTGGGGCCTTTGGTTGCTTTTGGGATCCTCTTTGTAATCTGTTTGTAAGACAGCGTGCGACTGTCGTTCGGATGTGTCCCGCCCAGAATGGCGGGCGGAACGGCTGGATGCTTGGTATCCTTTCCTATTTTCCTCAACATGATTCCTTCCCTTGCTGATCGCCTTTTCTTGACAGTGGGATTCATTAGCTCGACTCCCTTTGTATTCTTTAATTCTCATAAATTCCTGCGCCTTTTTCTTGACTTCCTCTAAGTCAGTAATTTCATGTCGCGCGAGCTCGTAAGCGAACTCTCCTTGTCGCAAGCCTGACAAGAGTATATGTACCTGTACTTTGGGGTCTAGGCCTTGCACTTGCAAGGCCTCTTTATCAAAATGATCTAGGAAGGACCGGAGGGTCTCGCCAGAAAGCTGTCGGACTTTTTCAAGGGCGTGCACGAATTTGGGTACGGGGCGACTGGTTGCAAAATGGGATTGAAACTTGCTTGCTAAATCGTCCCATGACGCAATGTTGCCTGTTGGCAGGGTGGTGTACCAGGTAAGGGCTATCCCTCCCAACAATGTTAGGAAAGTTCGGCACATGAGTAAATCTGTTTCGCCGTGGAGTGTCATTGCTGCTTCGAATTTCTGGATCCACTCAAATGGATCGGTATCGCCAACGTATGTGGTGATGTTGGAGGGACCCTTGAAACCCAGGGGTATGGGAGTTAGCCTTAGGCTATCGGTCAAAGGCTTGTTACGCCCTGACGTGTGGGCATGGCGTTACTCTGATATGTTCTCGTTGTGGACGAGGCATTTGTGGGGCTTTAACGAAGTAGGAGAGGGCCGGGGCTTGGTGGAAAGCTTGCTGAGCATCATATGGTTGTTGGTTAGGATTCGGGCAAGATGCCTGAGGTTGTGGAACGGCTGCGTTATGGGGTTGCATGGCGTAGCCATGGAAAGGGAAACCAGCTTGGTGAGGTAGTTGAAAAGGAAAAGCTACGTTAGGCATGTATGGCCTAGGTAGGTATGGGGCGACCATGGGTATCTGGTGGTCATGGTATACTGGCAGTGGTTGACTTTGGGCTGGTAACGGAGGACGGGTGAGATAGGCAGGTCGTGGGACAACTGCTGGAAATGACATTCCAAAATGGACTCCGGGGGGAGGTGGCTGGTTTAGGACTACATTTTCTCCCTGCATCTCGCACACGGGTGCTTGATAATGTTGCAGGGCGATCCTCCCATCGTTCGTTGGCAGCAGTGGGCCTATGGTCTGTAGTACAGGAGGTTGGACTTCTCCAGCGGCCCGCTCGGCTGGGGCCGAATACATAGATGGAGGAGAGCTTGGTTGTACTGTATGTACGTGTCCTTCTGGCGTCATGGCCCTGGCGTGCTCCGCTCTCCTGGTGGTGACAACCATGTAGAGTTGTAAAAAGCGTCTGGCAGTTGTTTGTTAGTAAGAGGAAATGACCTGTCAAATGGATCTTTGGGTAAGAGAATGGGAATAGAAGTTTATCTTTTCCCACAGACGGCGCCAATGTACCGTTTGGTTCTGTGACCCCACTATGTACCCTTTGAGGGTAATGTTGTTATATGGATGGTACCTACAGCTAAGGTAATGACCAGGCTAGAAGGTATTATTCCAAGAACAAGCAAGCAGATATCAATGGTAGACAAATAGTATGGGTATGACTTAAGAGTATATGGGCGTAAATACAGTACATAAAAGATGATCTTCCTGTTGTGCCCATGAGGGCTATTTATAAGGAAAATAGTGTGGGTTGGTGAGGTGGGGGTCAGCCCTTCTTGGGATGTGTCCCCCTGATGGCAGTGTTAGGCGCGGTTGGCGCTGCCACGATGGCAGCGCTGCACTTACTGCATCAGGCGATGTCAGCACTGAGCAAAGGGGCAGATTCCTTTGCAGTGCTTATGGCGACTGGGTTTAGCGGTTAATGTCCCAAAGTGGGACGTTTTGGTGTATATTTTGAACGTGCTGCAGTCTTGGAGAGCGTGAGGGTCCACGTCAGCCCTAAGGGCTGACTCAGAAGAAAGCTGAGGATTGAACCTGAGTAACTGGGCCGCTCCAGTGCTTGGGCCATCCGAAACATACCCCACACGTTTTTATGCATATGTAGGAAATAAAATTATTTCCTATAATATGATAAATATTAATTTTTTAAAAATAATTACTATACTTATTTATAAAAAAAATTAGATAACCATGGAAGGAGTAACAACTCACTAGTACTATTCAACTATTTCACGAAAGGCATTTTATAAAAAAAAGGGGCATTATATACTTACCACCAAAAAAATTTACAACATTTACCACCAACCTAATCACCGTTGATTTTCGTCAATCTATCAGTTCTAATTTATTGAGAATACTAATTAATTAATAAATGCGACCCAATAACTTCTAATAAATTATAACTGTTAGATTGATGGAAATCAACGGTGATTAGATTGGTTGTAAAAGTTGTAAATTTTTTTGGTGGTAAGTATATCCTTCCCCAAATACAAATAAAAATTAGATAAACATTAATTTGTTAGGATTAACTATGGATAAATAAAGGGGATAATATACGTTCTTCTCAACTAAATATTAAATTGTTAGGCGTTAAAAAATGGAGTATTGATTGACATTAAAAATACTTTTTAACATATTATATGTTTAAAATTCCGTAGCCTGATCGTGACTAAAAATAAATCTTGGTAAAAGCAAAGGGTAACCATAATAAATATTAATAATATTATCAACAAAAAATATTAATAAAAACCAGTGGTAGGCATAATAATCATTCAATACTTAATATTATTGTCCAAGTTTTGTTTTGTTTTTTGTTTTTTCTCTTTCATTCTTCTCACGCTGAGCTATTATTTGCAAATTGATGAAAACCCATACGCGGCAGCCCTCCAAGTTATCTTATACATGGAACCTTATCCTCTCTTTGATTGGCGAGCATCAAGGAAAATACAAATAAAGCAATAATTGGAAAATGATTAATTTGAACTATGAGACAAAATGGGCTTTTTTTTACCACTATAGTCTTTTTTTTACCACTATAGTCTTTTTTTAATAATTAATTATCAAATTGACCTTATTTATAAACTATTTCAAAAATTTAATTTTTGCAGAAAACATAACACCAATCTACTCCTGTTTGACCATTGACCATGAAGCCTACCCGAGTACACTCCTACCTACCCGGGTATATTTTGAAATTTTTTACCTACCCGAGTACACCCCTCCCTATCCGGGTATATTTCTTGAATCTGAAAAAATGTTTTAATTATTTACCCGGGTAGAAAGAGGTGTACTCGGGTAAATAATCCAATAGGTAGTGCCAAGAAAAACCAATTACAAATAAGCTTCCCATTTTTTAAAGAAACAAAAAAACTAAGATTCTTGAAGACAGAACAGAAGCAATCAAAGCACAAAGTTCCAAAGTTCCAAAGGAACGAGTATACAGTAGAATATGAATCAAATACAAGGAAGCAGTGACCAATGAATAAGACCCTAACATGTCAATCAGATCTTGGAAATAAATCAACCTCAGAAACAGAATCTAATATGAATATGAATTTCGTATGAGATCACCCTGTATGGTTCCCGATAAAGTACAAGCATCAAAAGCAAACGTATAACCATAAAATATTTAATCATAGTTGATTCGAGAATTTGGAAGAACAGAATTTTCACACAAAATTTTTAGTCTCATCCCAGTTTACCTTTTTCGCCAATCTCAAAAAATCATTGAGAAAGTAAAGAGTACACGCGTAGAACAGCTACATACACACAAACAAGATGAAATAAGCGAAAACATTCTACTAGCCTTCTTGGAATTTCTCAGAAACCAAACTAAGGCACGGTACATGTAGAAAGTAGAAACTGCAAAAAAAGTATGATTATTTACCCGGGTACACCCCTCCCTACCCGGGTAAATAATTCAAACATTTTTCCAGATTCAAGAAATATACCCGGGTAGGGAGGGGTGTACCCGGGTAGGTAAAAAATTTCAAAATATACCCGGGTAGGTACCCGGGTAGGCTTCATGGTCAACGGTCAAACAGGGGCAGATTAGTGTTATGTTTTCTAGAGAGGTTAAATTTTTGAAATAATTTATAAATAGGATCAATTTAATAATTAATTATTAAAAAAAAATTATAGTGCCGACAAAATGCACCATGCATGAATTTCGTCACCGAAACATTTAAAAAAAAAAAATTGTAATTGGAACGCGTGCATTTCTACTAGCTAGTGTAAGTAAATCAATCATAGAAATTATTATAAAATTATCCATTCAGAAGGTTTTTTTTTTGGGTAAAGAAATTTGAAGCTTTTAAATAAAAGATACATTGTTATTTTTGATTTTGTTATTTTATTCATGATTTTATCTTTTTACTCCATGCATGTTCATCGATCTTTCTATTTGATATCTTGTTCAAAACTACTATTCATAATCTATGATCAAATGAACATAGGCCCCACTGATTTTCATCTTATCATCGTTAACTCGAATTTCCAGAAAAGATATAGGAAGTTAAACTTTCAAAAATTTGCTACATCTAATTTAAGATGTGGGTTTGAGTTGGCCCAAGGATGGATTCCTTCGTTGCTTTTCTAATATATATATATATATATATATATATATATATATATATATATATATATATATATATATATGAGTAAATATCTTTTTGGGTCTCTAATAAAACACACGGTCTCCACTTTAGTTTTTTACAAAAATAAATTAGTTAGTTAGTCCATAACAAATTCAAAGTGGACCCATTTTAGTCCTTTTGAGGGACTAATATGGGTCTTTTTTGAATTTGTGAGGGACCACGATTTTAACTGAATGAGTCCACTTTGAATTTGTTAGGGACTAATTGACTAATTTATTTTTGTAAGAGACTAAAGTGGGGATCGTATTTTTTGTTAGGGACCAAAAATGATATTTACTCTTTTTTCTATTTATAGGTTTGAACTCAAAATCTCTTATATTAAAGAGAACACGTTTTTTCTTTTTCTTTTTTCTTTTTTGAAACAAGAACAAGTTTCTTTAACACTTGAAGTATGCAACTTAAGCATGCCTTTCATGATAGTAATAAACTAAAATGCATGTTTGTAAAGCAACTCGGATAGAATTCAATCATAAAATATTAAAGGGAAAAATATTTATCCCTTTAAAAGATAATTATTTTAGTTAAAACTAGTATTTTTTAATAAATATTTAAATTAAAAAAACTCTTATTTTCTTCTACCATGGTTTCTGTTTTTCTCATCATAAAACTTAATAATTTTATCTAAAATAACATAATTCAATATTCTTTAAAAGAATAAACACTAACTCCAATATTTAGTAATGAAAAATACCATTTGAGCTACAATTTTTGTTCAAATTAATTACCCTTTTACACCAAGATCTTTTATTTCAGCCCATTCCAATGATTAATTACTAGTGAATATTCTTATTTTTCTTTCAGATGAAAAGATCTACTCAATTATTGAAACGTGTTGGTAGGAATTGGAAGTATTATCTGTACACACGTAAATGAAGGAAAGGGATAGCCTATTAGCCTAATAAGAGAAGTTCTTTGAGCAATTTTGTTAAATAAAGAGGGAAACAAAA